ACACACACACACACACACACACACACACACACACACACACACACACACAGCATGAGCTGGGAAGGAGCAGAGAGAGGGAGAGAGAGATTCCCAAGTCTCGCTGTTGCCACAGAGCCCAAGACGGGGCTCGAACTCACGAACCGTGAGATCATGATCTGTGCAGTCAGTCACTTAACCGACCAAGCCACCCAGGTGCCCCTATTTTACCCAGTTTATACATCAGTGACATCAAAGGCAGAACACGCTTTCTGCCATTAAAAATGCTTCTCTCACCTTTTAAAAATATCATGAAGGGTTTGAGAAAAAAAAAAGATACATAGAGGAAAACATGGTGATAAGGATGACTCAACAGATAATGTAGCAAAATAAATATATTTTGCATGGTGCCCAGGGATAGGGCAGGTTTTGAAAGCAGCTCATCAGTTAAAGATAAACTTGTCTCTCTTTTTATTATTTTCCTGGAAACATGAACTTGTAATATGCATTTTTGTCTTATGGCACTTTAGAAATTACTAACCATACAGTTCTGGGATGTCTTTTTTCTCAAAGAAAACTTAACCTTACAATACCCCTTGGCAAAGGTACTAATGAATACTGCTCTGATGCAAACACTCCCTAGGCTATTTTGTTTGAGCAAATTTGAGCAAGCTTTGTGTGAGCTTGCATGTTTTTCTGAGGAAAGGGTACTTGCAAGGGATTCATAAATTCCTACTTTAAAGAATCATAATCCTAAACCAAGAATTTAACACTACTGCAAACACTGAAGTTGCTTTAAGCTGAAATTTACCGACCAATTAAAATTCAGCAAAGCCTATATGTAACTCAAATGGGTTAATCACAAGGCATCATTCTTGTTCATATATCAGCATGCATTTCTTTGTCTTGACTGTACATACGGAAGATTCTTTAGTTTTCTTTGAGTCATTAACTCCAAATATTAATTTAAAAAATAACAGCTGTCTTTATTTACAGCTGATCTATGACAACTTAACTTTAAATTGTCTTGAGATTTCTTTAATAGTTCATAAAAAATCAATAATAGGGGCACTGAGTGGCTCAGTCTGTTAAGCGGCTGACTTTGGCTCACGTCATGATCTCACGGTTTACGGGCTCGAGACCCGCGTCAGGCTCTGTGCTGATAGCTCGGAGCCTGGAGCCTGCTTCAGATTCTGTGTCTCCCCCTCTCTCTCCCCCTTGCCCGCTCATGCTCTGTCTCTCTCTCAAAAATAAATATTTAAAAATTTAAAAAATCAATAATAAGAACTGTACCCTGTATTTACACTGCTGTACATACTTCTAAGACATCATTGTTTCCTTCATGTAACAGTAACATGAATTACAACACATAAACAATTCCACGTATTGGTATAAATTACCATTGTATCCATCTTGGTTCAGGTCTCCTAAGTGTGCCACAGCACTACCGAATCTCCCGAAAACCTCGGTGCCCGCGAGGATCTGTGGGTCTCTGAAGACAAGAGCACTCACTTGCAAATACAGATAAACTTGCCCTACTTCCCTAGGGCTGGTCTCAAATTCACGTTCCATGAAGAGAGGGGCCCCAATCAATACATCATCCATTCTGCAGGGAACAAAGAGAGAGGTCAGAGCACCGACAGACGTGAGATTCCAGGGGGACATATTTTTTTAATGTTTATTTTTGATAGAACATGGGGTAGAGTGGGGGGAGGAGAAGACAGGAGAGGGAGACACAGAATCCAAAGCGGGCTCCAGGCTCTGAGCTGTCAGTACAGAGCCCGATGCAGGGCTTGAACCCACAGTCCATGAGATCATGACCTGAGCTGAAGTCGGGAGGTCTCCCAACCGACTAAGCCACCCAGGTGCTGCCCCCCCTGCCCCCCCCGCCAGCGGATACATTTTTAACCAACTAGCTTAGTACATTTCCGTTGGTATTTTTCCTTTCCCCAGGTACATTTTACAATCACCGTGTTTCTTTCATTGCTTTGTTATGTCTATGGGATAGAATGTTATAGGAAAAGAAGACTTGTTACACTGAGCTTTTAGACTGTGTTACAAATGACCACTTTAAGAAAACCAGATACTTCACCCTTTTCAAAAGATTTTTAGTGCATTTCCAGAAAATGTAGCTAGACAAGCAAAACATATCAAAAGGACCTAAAAAGGGTTTCTCTCAAAGTGGATTAGTGTTTGTCTACGACAACAGAATGATTCACATAAGTTATGAAGTTTTCTTGCAGTAATAAGGTTTAACATAAATGTTGCCTTCTTCTTTCCTCTTGTTACTTCCATTTAAATAAAGCAGAGGGGCGCCTGGGTGGCTCAGTCGGTTAAGCATCCGACTTAGGCTCGGGTCATGATCTCGCGGTCCGTGAGTTTGAGCCCTGTGTCGGGCTCTGTGCTGACAGCTCAGAGCCTGGAGCCTGCTTTGGATTTTGTGTTTCCCTCACTCTGTGCCCCTCTTCCACTCATGCTCTGTCTTTATCTGTATCTCAAAAATAAATAAACATTAAAAAATTTTTTAAAAAAAGGCGAGGGGACGCCTGGGTGGCTTGGTTAAGTGTCCGACTTCAGCTCAGGTCATGATCTCACGGTTCATGAGTTCAAGCCCCATGTAGGACTCTGTGCTGACAGCTCAGAGCCTGGAGCCTATTTCAGATTCTGTGTCTCCCTCTCTCTGACCCTCCCCCGTTCATGCTCTGTCTCTCTGTGTCTCAAAAATAAATAAATAAAGCAGAGACCAGAGAAGGTTATAGTACTACCTAAAAAGATAGAAAACAAATTTTCATCCCAAATAGGACTTGATAGTTATCTTTGTAAATGGAGATACACTAGCAGGAAATTAATAGATAATTTTTAAGGTTGAAAAAAATTCAAGAAACAAATACCTATGCACATTATCTAGAGATAAAGATATAGCCCCCCAAGAGAACAAAATACAAAAGTGGTTAAAAGTGTTCCCTTCACAGAGCCGACGGGCATGAAGAAGAGTACAACAGAGCTACCTAAACTATTTCAGTTTTTGTTTTTTTTTTAATTTTTTTTTTTAACGTTTATTTATTTTTGGGACAGAGAGAGACAGAGCATGAACGGGCGAGGGGCAGAGAGAGAGGGAGACACAGAATCGGAAACAGGCTCCAGGCTCTGAGCCATCAGCCCAGAGCCCGACGCGGGGCTCGAACTCACGGACCGCGAGATCGTGACCTGGCTGAAGTCGGACGCTTAACCGACTGCGCCACCCAGGCGCCCCAACTATTTCAGTTTTTAAGAACACATACATACGTTATTTTATTTTAGAAATCTTAGGAAAAGTCACGTCAACCAAAATTCAAAATGTGATCTATACTAATGACCTCTGAAGATGCCCCAATCTTGGGAGAGGCAATAATCCAAAGAAAAATCTGCCTTTGGTTTTTATGCTGACATAGATTAGGCAACATGCAGAAACTTGCCAACTAAACTAAAAATATCACCATTCATCTAAAAGGCAGGAATGGGGGTGATCAGTTACTGAAAACCAAAAAGAAATCCTCCTTTAAGATAGGAGGCATCTGTAAGACATTGCAACTTCACCCTGACCGCCTCTTTCTCCAACTTCTTGCCTTCCCTGCAGTGGTCAACTAGTACCCAGGTTCAAGAGACATTCTGTGTAACAACTGTATTTAAGACACTGTGATAAGTGACTCAAGGAATATAGCGACAATTAGGTCAACCCCGGTCCTAATTAACTTACAAGTGAAATCAAATTGCCACTCATTTAACTACAGACAAGGCAGGGTGGAAAAAAGCACACAAGTAATCCAAACTAAATCCTAGAGATCCTGGGTAGGAGAGAGGGCTGGTACTTTGAGAGAGTTAAGCAATGCTCATGGAGGGGATGGCCTTAGACCTGAGTGGGATTCTCACAGGTGGCTTTAGAGGCAGGCTTTCCAGGTGACAGTACTCTGAGCCCAAAGCAGTGTCTCTGAGTGGAGTCAGGGTACAGAGAGCGATCAGGTGGGCTCCGTGCTAGAGGGGTGCCAAAATTTTAATTGGAAAAGTAAAATATACAAAGAATTCTTAAAACTTAATAATATGAAATCACAGTAACAGTAACAATAACATATACAGTATGATACCATTATATACTACATAGCATATATTATTGTTATATATAACCAATATTGTATGTATGGGATATACAATAGATTACATAACATGTTATCATTGTTATATATAACCAATATTATATGTTTATGACATATAATAGAGCAATAAGAAAACAACGCAATTAAAAATGAGGCAAAAGATGTGAACAGACACATCATCAAAGAAGATTTACAGATGGCAAAGAGCACATTAAAAAATTCTCAATGTCAAATATCATTAGAGAATTGGAAATAAAAACAAAAATGAGATACTGCTACGAATCTATTAGAATGACTAACATCCAAAATACTGACAGCACCAAATGCTGGAAAAGAGTGCGGAGCAACAGGAACTCTCACACATTGCCGGTGAGATTGAAAAATGGGACAGCCGCTTTGGAAGGCGGTACGGCACTTTCTTACAAAACGAAGCACAGGTTTACCGTATGGTACAATAATCACACTCCTAGGTGGTCACGCACGTGAATTGAAAAAACTTAGGTCCAGAAAAAAAAAAAACTTGCAATTGCCAAAAATTGGAAGCAACCAAGATATCCTTGGTTGCACTAATAACCTGTGGCACATCATATAACAGAATATTACTCATCAATAAAAAGCAATGAACTATTAAGCCACAAAATGACAGGGAGGAACTTTAAATGCATTTTGCTAAGTGAAAGAAGCTAGTCTCAAAAGCCTTCATACTGTATGATTCCATGTGTATAACATTCTGGAAAAGACAAAACTATAGAGGCAGTAAAAACGAGTAGCAGCTGGCAGGAGTGAGGGGAGGGAGAGGAAGGACTAGATAGAGCACGGGGTGTTTTTAGGGCAGTGAAAGTATTTTGTACGATACTGTAGGTGGATACGTGACATTATGCATTCGGCAAAATTCACAGAACATAGAACCAAAAGAGTGAACCCTAATGTAAACCGTGCACTTCAGTTAATAATGTAACAATATTGTAACAAATGTACCACACCAATGCAAGAGGGTAATAACAGTGGAAACTGAGGGTGGAGAGGAGAGAGAATACATGGGAACTCTCTTTAATTCCTACTCAATTTTTCCATAAACCCAAACTGCTCTAAAAAAAATAAGACCTACCAAAAAAAAAAAATTGATAATTGAAAAAGTAAGTTGAATCAGATTATATGGGAAAAGCATGAGTTTTAACGTTCTCCTGATCTAGATTTAAAAGCCGGCTCTTTTGGTAACAAGCTGTGCGGTATTGAACAAGTTACATTTCCTCAAAAATGTGAATGTAGAAATAGGCTGCGTCATTGGATACATCACTGAAGATCTCCCTCGGTCTCTGTCTCTGTCTCTCTCTGTACGTCTCCTTCCAAATGTGCACACACACGTATATAGACAGGTCATACTATAGTAGTTTAATAAATGATAGGTATCGTGAAGGCACTGGGTTAGGTGTTGAGGGAATACACAATATTTTTACATTATAGCAATGTAAACAGAAAGAGCTCTTGGTAAAAAAGCACAATGCATCCCCCCTCTCCCTCTCCTACCTTGTAGGAGCCAGAAACAAGGTGAAATGTAACTCTGGGATAGTCTGGGGCTCCCAGCTACTTCAAGAATAGGCTCTTACTTGTCTCCCAAGCAGGAGACCTACCGCAGGGAAAAGCAAGAAACACCCTGAGTGTTACTTGGCCGACTTGTAAGAAGGAAGGGGTGGGGGGTGGGGGGTGGGGGGTGGATGGGGGCGAGGACGGTTATAGATAGACCTGAGGAATGGCTATTATTTTTTCTTTTGTTTTTTAAAAAATGTATAATTCCAGTAGAGTTAACATACATTGTTATATTAGTTTCAGGTGTACAACATAGTGACTCAACATTCTGTATGCACATCACCTTGTGCTCATCACAAGTGCCCTTCTGGAGGTGAGTAGGGGGATGGGTAAATAGGAATGGCTCTCATTTGGGTCTCACATTCCAAAACCTAAGTTGGATTACTATACTTAGGTAAAACGTTAAAAAAATTTTTTTTAACTGGTTTTTATTTATTTTTGAGAGATAGAGCATGCGTGGGGGAGGAGCAGAGAGAGGGGAGACACAGAATCCGAAGCAGGCTCCAGGCTCTGAGCTGTCAGCACAGAGCCCGACACGGGGCTCAAACCCATGAACCGTGAGGTCATGACCTGAGCTGAAGTCAGATGCTTAACCGACTAAGCCACGCAGGTGCCCCAAAACACCTTCTTAAAAATAGGACAAGCACATTGGTTTAAAAAAAACAATTCCCATTGCTTGCCATCCTGCTGTGCTCCAAGACCAGAGGAGAGCAGGGATTGGGGTTATTGCCTTGATCTTCCCCCGCAGGTCTGTGGTTGCTTCTCTTTCTGTTATCATTATTGCCAGTAGGCGGGGCCATTCGCTAAACACCTAATTGTGTTGCTGCCTTGTGGTTCAAAAATGTCTGAAGTCACTGGTCTCTACTGTAGAGATGGAGTGGGGGCCATT